AACGACAAGAACTCCTTAAACCACTTCAAATAAATCTAGTTTTTATTGCTACAAAATGTAGTAGCGTACATTCTAACTTAGTACGGTCAGCAAATTAACTGAGAACAGAATGGTTTTAATATTATTTTTTTATATCTTTTTATATGCACTGTCCTATAGTGTCGCATGAGGCAACAGTGGGGAAGCTGAACCAGGAGATGGGCAGCAACAGATAAGAATAAAAAACTAGGTTTGCCAAGCTGTTTGCCAAGCGTGCCAACTATGGCAAATATCCTCCCTGTGAGGTAATCAGTGGAGGTCTATGTTCAGCAGTAGACTTTTGACGGGCTGTAATAGTTATACTATTTTACCCAATAATTATGTAAAAATTTTGGTACTCATGAAGGGATACATAAGTTTATGAGCTTGACCCTTAAAATCAAAATTAGATTAATTAGAAAAAAATTGATTTGAAACTCATGTAACACTCTCACATACTTACATTTTATCGTGTAACTCATGTTATTACGACTCTTTAATCTATTTTTTTTTCTCGCGCAGTGATCCAAATCCTCGCAACGACCTGGATCTTCCCGAGCTGAACGGCTTGCGTTGGCCCGCCATGACCGCACACAAGCGGAGCTATTTGCGAATAGATAAGGAATTCTCTGTCAGGACTAACCTTAAGGAAGACAGAATGAAAGTCTGGGAGGAGCTTTATCCCATGCAATATTAGTTCTTTATATATTCTGGGATATTTACAGCTATATTTTTTACCTTTTTTATCATAAATGCAATAAATAATATTTCGAAATCTTGCGCCTTTTAATTTAATATTACCAGACTTATTTGTTTGAGTCTGTTACCTATGCAAGTACTCTTCAAAATAAATCAGTCTCAATAAGTATAGCATGTCAGAGCGGACGTAGCTTACTCACCTCACTTGACAGCAAAACTTTGATAAAAGCATATAAAAAGGAAAGGCTCAAAGTCGCTTACCGAGAGAAGTGTTAGGTGTTCATAGTAAGTAATCTATGGCATTCCATTGTATTATAGTTTTGTATAACTCAATGTGGCATTCATTATAAGCCTATAAGATTAGCATCTAAGCTAATATTATATAAAATATAAAAAAAATACTACCTACGTAAATCAAGTCATAGGAGAGTGTTCCGTTTTTAGGATAAAAATGAGTTTGAAGGAAATAACAATTACTTATTATTTTTAAAATAACTCTGTAATGCGATCAATTGACCTTGCTTTTCCCTAATAACAATTTTTATTTGCAAGCAATAAAGTATTATTTTGCTTGTCTTGTTATAAGTACTAAATTCTTCTGATTTCGCCCTAACCCCTAACGCATGCGTTAAATTCACGTTTTCTCCCTTAACCTAATAGTAATGGGAATAATATTTTCGATAAAAATGTCGACAAATTTACTTTGCTAAAAGAAATGTCAAACAAATAATTTTATTAGTATGTTACACTGAACCTTCTCACTTTTTACTTATTTACCGCCTATAAACGTCCTTCGGGTGGGCATACAAGTAGGTCTCGTCTCACGTCTTATATAGGTATAAATTTGTTGGCAAAAAAATGGGGGTTAGTATTAGTAGAATGAAGTTGTCACTAAATTCAATCCTATCCTTATTTTACGTGTAGTGTATTTAAATAAGGATAACAACATCAAGCATTTAGCAATAAATTTCTGTAAGTGGAAAAGTAGCAGGTATAAACTAATGTAAAAAAATTACTTATGTATAGTAAGAAAATAATCAATAAGTACATCATACATAAACATCTTCATTATACTTTATCAAAAGTTGAGATAAAAAGTTAAATAAAGCAGAAACCGAAGCACTTTACATTGCAATTATTTAAACATTTGACAATAATTTCTTATATTTATCCGAACACTACACAATGAATAAACTATTTGTACTTTATTTTTTAGATTTTATGACATTTAATTTTTCTTATTTTTATTAACGGGTGTTTCGAGTGCTTTGCAGCACCGTTCAAATGTCACGGAGGTACTGAGATGATTGACGTCCCGATGTCAAAGTTAACATGGAGTTCCTTCATCTTTTCAGTGATAAATTGAGGTAGGATAACTGACGCGAAACACCAACGCTTCTGGAATTTTGCGGCTTGTTGATAATACCCTTGAGAGCATTCGCCATTACATCAGATTTGACATACCACGAATCCTCGTGAAAGAACATCAATTCGTACGTGTGGCTATTAAAATTAACATAACTTCAATAGAGAAGGAGGCTGGTTACCACCACCTGCTTGGAATCCTGTAATTAATAACATTAAAATTATATCCAAGTATACCACTGTAGGACTTCACAATACAGTAAGCTCATTTTGCGTATATAGGGCCAAAATTAATAATTAAAAATCTAAAGGTAGTGAAGGTAGGTACTCCGAGTTCACTTCAACATCGGAAAGTCAATCACCTCTGTCACTCTGTCCCGAAACAAGGAAAATTAAAAATAAGTAAAATTAAACGCGGTAAAATCAATAAAATAGTTTTATTCAACAAAAATAAGTTATAGTTGCAGCATTTATGTTACTTCAGTAACGGTTTGTTACGTAATGTAGAGTACAGTAAGCAACGTTAAAACTTATTGTAATATAATATTCCGTTATGATGGTTTCAATTTAAGATCTGTCGTAGTCTCTGTCTGTATAATTAGATCATCGTTAATAAAATATTATTAATTTATTTTTGATACATTAATAATATTTTATTTTTAATTTGAGCACATTAATGTCTATCTATTATGCCCTATGTCAGTCTCTGCTAACGTATTGTATTTCTTGCTGGGGAAGCGCTTCCAAAACAGTCATGTTAAAAATTGAGAGAGCTCAACGTTCGGTCCTGAAAGTTATGCTTAACAAGAAATACAGGTATCCAACGATTAAACTGTACAGAGATATTAAAGTACTAACAGTTCGGCAGCTATTTGTCTTATGTGTGGCTACATGTGTTCATAGAAAAATATTAAGCTCACATAAATACAGTGAGCTGATGAAAAAACGTGTGTTTCAAATGCCATTACCAAGCATTCGCACAGCTTTCGCAAAACGATTTAGTCCATTCATTGAAACACTAATTTATAATAAAGTTATGAAGACATGCGACATAAGAGATTGCTCGACGAACACAGCTAGAATAAAAATACGAAATTGGTTGCTTACGCTTAGTTGTGAGCAAACAGAAAAGCTGTTTCAAACATTGTCATAGTAGCTACGTGCCCAATATTGGTATTGATATTGTTATTATAGCAGTATTGCAAATATAAAATACTGCAATATTAACAAATTATAATATTTATGTGTGTGTATGTATGTATATGTGATGATTTATATATATATATATATATATGATATTTATATATGTTGTATATATATGTATGTGGATGTATGTATGTATGTTGTGTATATATGTTTAAGTATGTGTTTGTATTTATAGACCCTAAATAAATTGGAGATGTTTAAAGGTAAAACTTTGTAAAGTCAGCCGTGCACAAATCTCTGTTTTTTTTTTGTTAACATGTGGCTCTCACGATGCAGGTCTACGTGCCTAGTGTGAGAACCGCTGCTAAATTATGTGTAAAGGTGCTAACTGTTAAATAAAGTATTTTTACATTAGAGAAGATTATACAGTATATTAAGATTGTACAGTAGTACAATCGATTTCCCTAGAATATTTACAGCCCTTCAAAAGTTCACTGCTTATCGTCGGACGTCACCCAGGAATGCCACGAAACACGGTCCTAAGCCACCTACCTCCATCGGCTTTAATCATAATTTAGGTTGTCCTTAAATACAATATTTTTGATAATTCAAAAATAAAACAACAACTATGATAATAAAGACAATCAGCAATTTTGAACCATTTCTACGAAATGGGACTGAATTTTATGCTTGTGGTAAGATTTCTTAACGTTTATTGTATCACTTCACCATATAAATAACAATTTGATTAAATATTTTTAATCAGAAATTTTTAATTGGAATTTTACGCGATATCATAAATTATTAGTAGGCATTAATGCAGTCGTTAACAAAAGTAATACTAATAATAAATTATACATACATTCAATTATTTTATTTAATGTTTCAAACATAATTTTGAAGTCAATAATTTAATAAAAGATATTTTTCAAATGAGATATTCTATTCTGCAGTTAGGAGTCTATCTATCTCTATATATAATAAAATATTGGCGTAAATATATGAAGCATCGCGAGTCGATATAACTGCATGGCGTTGCACGCATCACTCGTCCCCTCGCTCTCGCTTCGGCGCCGCCATGACAGTCGAGCGCGCCCTACGCCGCTGTCGCGTTCAAAAATAGATTATTATCGGAGAAAGAAAAACTTTGGTCTCCTACGTGAGTATTGCTCATCGCTATCACCTCTTTTATTTATTTACACTATACGTTATTAACTAACTATTATGACTTCAATTTATTTAGCTTCGAAACAATCAAGGATGACCATATTATTGCTAATATAAATCTGCTTATTTTTATTATATTACATTGTCTGCCTGTGTCATATGATTACTTATTATTTTTACGGGTTTTATAAAATATATATTCGGTTTCATTTGATAATGTTATTCGTTTATTACTTTAAATTCGATAACATTGAAAATATTTTTCTTCTTATCATACATCCAAATAGTATATAATATGTAGTATGTACCTATTATGCAATTAAAACCCTAATCTCTTAAGCGATCGTTATTCTTGCTATACCTACTCTACGTTATCTAGTTCTAGAACATTTAATTTTTAAATTTGCCGCTATAACAGCGCCAAATATAATCATGACATGACACTCGTGAAGTTAAACCTACACAATAAAATGAGTTTAGTTCGGTTGTACCGCAGGCGACTTAATCATTGTATTTTGTAACGTCGTTTTGTTTCGTAGGTGACGTCACGCTTCTGCGGCCCCATCTCGTAAAAACTGGCAAAACTCTGGTGAAGGGAACCGGATATGGGAGGTGAACATTATTTTTTTAATTCATTGTTTGCAATTTTTGTTACAATACTGCCTAGTATTGTCTTTTTAGACCGACTTATTAAGTCGTTATTTATAATAAACCGGACCAAAAATAAGTGCTATTTTAATTCGTTTCAAGGACATTTTGCATGATACTAATGTAACGAAAGCATAATTTATAAAAAAATTTTCAAATAACAGGATTATAATTTAGTTTCGGTATTTATCTACACTTAAACATGTTTTATGAGTTATAATTGGATTGGTCATAAATAATTATATAAAGGTACGCAATGCAGGTATTTCGTATTTTAGATCATAAGTCACAAACAATATGTCATTGATTTGTTCGAACAGGAAGAATGTATAATCTTGCGTTCCGCTTTCGCGGTCGCTACAACAACAGGCAGTGAAGTAGGTAGTTTACCTTACCTACTTTACTATATAATATTGATAGTGATCGCCGAAAGATAATACGAATCTAAATTGCCATATAAACTGCGTTGCATACGTTTTCCCTGTTTTGGAAATAAAGGAATTTTTATCATATAATTTTAAAATAATAGGCAATACAATAACGACCTGTTGATGTTTACATATTTTTTCCATAAATGTGTCGAAAATGAATAACTGTTAAAACATTATATGACTTATGTAAGTGTTGCTTAAATTTGTTATTGTCTGTCATAAAACAATAGGTTGTACATAAAACAACATTTTAGATACTGATGTGGGTACAAGGTTTTGGTGGGTATTCGTATTCGGTGACAATGGCTCGTTTTGATTAGCTGTTTATTTACTAATAATTAAACTAAGTAATAATTTACTATTCACTTGATTTCCTGTGAAAGAAATAAAATAATTCTAACGTAATTTAATAGTTGAGGTAAACGGTATTGACGTGCATTAACCATCATAATTAGGGATGCCTCAATACGCCTTTTTGCCGATATGATACTGATACCGATGATCGTATAAAAATATCGGCGATGCCGATACCGATACGCTTATTGAATTCAAAAATGAAGGTAAAATAAATAAAACACTAGTCAGGGTTTTATTTATTAATATAAAAGGAACAAATAACAGGACATACTTCATAAAACCGTTTAAAACTATAGAAAGGTTGAGATTAGTTAATAGTTTTAGTGATTAAAATTAATCTTGATGAGATTTTTGTTTAAAAATCAAAGTGTTTTTAAGTTTGCGGAGAAAAGTGATTTCGCAAATCTGTTTGAATAAGACCTGCGGTGGAAAATAGTCTCTCAGATGCGACAGAACTCATTTGGAAACTAGAGTATACTTATGCGCCATTTTTTCAAGTTTGGGTATAAGACGTTATTGTGCTAGAAAACGAACAGATCTGCGCTTCTAGATATATAAGGAGACCTATATTATTAGGTAGAGAGACACCTTCTCTGAGACAATTACAGCTCAGAGTAGACAGGAAAAATTGGAAACAAGACACAGCACAGCATAATCACTTCGAGTCTCGTTTGCAAGGGAATAGATTTTAAAGCGCGAAATTTAAAAGTATCGTTGAATCGACCATAGAAATATCGCCGATGTCGATATATCGGCAAACTTCGAGTACCGCCGAATATCGGTGTCGGTATCGGATGCATCCCTAATCATAATGTCACAAATACAAAACATCTTCATGTTTCGCAGCATATTACCTGCCTACGTACTTTGGCGTTTCCATAATTTTACGCGAATGAAAAAAGATGGCAACCCTGAATGTGATGCATGTTATGTTTAACATCATGATGTTATTAAACGATTGTTTCACTGTGGAATGCTAAGGAGTGGTCTTTAATGTTATTGGAATAAAGTACAAAATAGATTATCCATGTTATAAGTTGACGTTTTATAAAACGTTCCAGAAAATCCATTAATGTCTATTTGAATAAGAACTTCATGCCTATGAATTAGAATCTGAAATGGACTGTGAGAATTTTTGAGTTATCACTATCGCTGTCTGTCATGCCAATATCGGTTGTATTAAAAGAGATTACTTTCTAAATTTGCTTGAGCTTGAGCTGCTTAACTCCTGACTGGTATTTGTGTATATTGAAAACGAAGAGTGTGTTGTTTTCTTTTTTTAGGATAACAATATTTTGTGTGTTTTTGAATACTGTCCTGTTCTCATAATGTAACCTATTTATAGCTGTTGTACGGAAATGATAACGGACGTGTCACATTCATTCTTATTTATAGCAATTTATATTGAAGGTACCTAGTTAGCATTCACATTTTTTTTGCGCACGCATGAACACAGTCACATTATTCAATAAAACTTTTATATAGCTGTCTAATTCCTTCTAAGACACCCTTGTTATTATGTAAATTACTTATTATGTTAATTTTATAATATGCCTATTCGACACACCCGACTGATCTGAAACGTGGCGTGGGTACTGGGTACCTACCTATATGAACATTGAACAAAAAATAAGATCGTAAATCATCATAATAACGTAACTGTTTAAATTATGACTATGACACTGTAATTATTAGGTACATAATTACAGTCTCATAATGTAAACAGTCTGTCATTTTTACCCGACTGCCACAGGAGGGTAATACATATTTTTCAGGTGTATGTGTGTAATAATATGTATGTACAATGTATGTCTATTATGAGTAGGGTTGCCAGGTGTTAAAATCGAAAAGCCGGACAGACCAGCGAGCTTAGCTGGACATTTTGGTAAAAAGGCCTGACACCGTTATTTTTTTGTCTTAGTAAAAGACATATTTTTAAAGTAAAACAGTGCTTTTTATCATTCACTGTAAAAACTTCTTAAGTTCAAACGAAATAACAACAATTGAATAAATCAGTCTTTTTTATTATTAATTATTCAATATTCTATAATATATTAATTTCAATAATTGCAATAGTATGTATGTAAGTGCATGAAAAATGTAAAAAAATGGTCAAATTAAATTAAAAAAAACCCAACAAAAGCCAGACACCGTCTAATGTGGTCGGACACGCAACCAAAAGCCTGACTGTGTCCGGCTTTATCCGGACGTCCGGCAACGCTAAGTAAGAGGTGTTGTTACAATCGTCTTAGTGGTAGAAGTGACACGGGAGATAAAAATTTTCTGTTTTCAGTAATCTATTTACGCAGTCAGGTTTTTTAAATTTAGTAGATGTTTTACTCTTAGGACTTTTTTCATTTATGTACTACACACAAGACGTAGCAAATCCTTTCGTAAAAAGTCACAACCTGTTCTATGATATATTTGGATGTGGAATCCCACCAAAAACAAAAATGTGAAAAAGAAATAGAGAAGTAAAAATAAAAACTTTTTATTGGATATAAACAGACGTTTAAAAATTAATTAGCTAAGATCCGCTTCATCATCATTATAGCCCTTCACAAGTCCACTGCTGAACATAGGCCTCCCCCGAAGAATGCCACAAAGCACGGTCCTGATCTCCACTTGCATCCATCGACTTCCTGCATGTCTTACCAGGTCGTCACTCCATCTAGTGGGGGGTCACCATACACTACGCCTGCCGTACGAGGCTACCACTCGAGAACCTTTTTTCCCCATCGGTTATCGGTTCTTTAAGCTATATGGCCGGCCCATTGCCACTTCAGCTTGCTAATCCGTTGGGCTACTTCGGTCACTTTGATTCTACTGCGGATATTCTCATTTCTGAGCTTATCACGCAGAGAAACCCCGAGCAAAGCCCTCTCCATAGCTCGATGAGCGACTTTGAGCATCCTCATACGGCCAGCAGTGAAGGACAACGTCTCAGTTTCATAGGTCATCACTGCCGTGTAGTGGCGGTTGAGAATATCCACTACCCCATATCTTCCCGTGGGTGTCGTAAGAGGCGACAGAGGGAGACAGGCAGGAGATGGGCAGCAGCATCTTCCTGATGTAGCAACTGTACAACAAAAAACTGCGGTTGCCAACCCGCTCGCCAAGCGTGGCAACTATGGCAATATACCCCCCATGAATATTCACTTAATTAAATAAAATTATATGTCCTACCTAGTTTGAAGAGCATCTTTCGTCAAACACAATGATTTGTCTTTCCCAGTTAGAAGAGCACCACCTGCCCTCCCTCAGCTGTGTGCACTGTCCCCGTCACCACTAATCACAACACCACTACTCCCAACACTACTACCTACACCGTCTAAACGAGGCGTCATCGGGTGAAATATACACAGCGATGGTTGACCACTAAGTGAACGCTAATTGCTCTATCAAGTAACTACCAAACGAATATTTGATTACAACGGAGATACGTTGAAAAAGCGCAATTTTTCTATACTGCATGATCTCTTTTACCGTCTGGAAAAAAATAGGATGTTTTATACGCGGCAGAGCCACGTTGCAGTTATATTATGGTTGTAGCACGAAAAGGTCGGCTCGACCGGGGAAGGCCCACGCTCTCACAGAAAACCAGCGTAAAATAGCAACTTAATGCTGTTGTGTTTAGTATGGTGAGTGTAGAGAACCAGAGAACCATTTTACTGGAAAAGAGACATTCCATCTTAGTCCTCAGGGGTGACAACACATCTGCATTTTGATTCTTAATCGAGGTTAAATGTAGACGTCTATGGGCCACAGCATCCACTTACCATCAGGTGGAATGTGTGCTCATTTGTCACCCTAATTCTATAAAAAATGTGAACGGAGTAGAAGCCTATGGTACTGATATTTTACAAAAAATAAAAACAATCTACTACTACTCCGTTCACATGTTACATCCTATTTTTTTTCCAGACGGTAAAAAAGCTCATTCAGTATACGAGTATTAGTTAAACCCGTAAAATACATAATATTTTTAATAAAATATTAGCTAAAAACCTACGCGTTACGGCCGCAGAAGAAATATTATTCACAATGAAATTATGGAAATATGGTTTTAAATTTATAAAAGTTATATTGTTAGATTAATTTTTAATGATAATACATTCATTGAAGTTGAATGATATGTAACTTTCAAATATATTTGTAGGTACGATACGCCCGCCATCTGCTGTAGGTTAATTATACTGTGCGTACAACCTTTGCGTAAGTGCAAGCAATAAGTTGAAGAAGTTTTACTGCAATTTGATATACGGTAAGGTAGGGCATAAAATACGAACAAATAAACACTAATATTTACATATTAAGGGGAAATATAACCTCAAATGGCTTAGCAAGATCCTCCGTTATGCCGAAAGTATTGCAGCATTAATTTTGAAATAAATATATGGTAAAGTTGAGGATTAAGGTTAAGGTTTATGTTAGACGAAAACACGGTTCCGTAAAATTTTCTCGATAGAAAAAAAAATCCAAAGTTACCTCCAAACTGAACAATAAACCGCTGTTATTCATAAAATACTTTAAATAAGATCATGAAACTTTGCATACTAACTGAACTAACCATAAAGCAGTGCTTATGTTATTTACTTTTTTTAAAATATCATTATTTTCACAGTAAAAAAGAAATTACCTAAACTATCGGCGCGTAAGCTTGGTTCCTGCAGGAACCTTAAGAGATATCAGTGTCAAACGAATTGACAGTTCACCTGATCGTACGAAGCAGCACTTGTTTTCGACATCTATCAAAGAAGACCACACGCATCATCGCCCCTAAACCCCTGACTAGCTTACGACTAAGTTGCCACTTGGGTTTTCGACTTGCTGTGCTGGTTTAATCCATCATCAAAATTTTCAAATTATATTAATGTCAGTTAATTTTTCCAATGTGTCAGTTCTCTTTCCGCATAGAGTCTATAACAGATATAACGTAAAATAATGTATTTTATTTACCCCCACATTGAAATTTTCACCAGTATCGTGGGGGCAGTTTACAAACATAAATTGCAGAAGGACAAACATCCAGACCGGCATGATTATTTGTAGGCTATACAAATACTTGTTTTTTTTTTATAGAAGAGGGGACAAACGCTGGATGCGGTCAAGTGGAAGAAGCTGGTACTGGGGAGCCCCAGCCCGTACAACCCCCAACAGTATTCCATGTGCGGCCGAACCTGCTCCTTGTAAAGTTGCAGGCGGTGTGCCGGCATGAAATACTGTCCCGCTCTGCTGAGCACGCCAAGCTTTTTAGAGGAAAATTTGGCATTCTCTTCCAAGTGACCACGAAACTGCACGTCACTTGATATGTCGACGCCGAGGATTCCGATACTGGCTGAGGCAATAAGGGGAGTGCCTTGAAACTGAAGGGATACGACAAAGGGGTTCTTTTTAGCGGTTAACGCGCAAACTTGTGTCTTCTGGGGGTTAAACTGGACTAGATTTAGTCGCCCCCAATCCGAGGCTCTGTTCAGCAAAGACTCGACTTCAGACACAAGTTTGTCCCGGCACTCAGACACGTTTTCACGAGAAATAGTGGCTCGGCCGGTGTAAAGAGCATCACTAGTGCTGTCACCTGCATAGCAATGATGCTACGGTGTTGTGCAACATATCATTGGATAAAATACAGAAGAAACAGCGTTGGCGATAACACGCAGCCTTGTGGAACACCAGCATTAATTGCAGGCTTGCAATCGGAGCTTGCACCGTCTACAACGACCTTGATGCTTCCGATCGTGCAAGTAAACGCTGGTGATCCAAAGTCGCACAATTTCTCGGGAAACCCATAGGAAGGAGCTTCGAGAAGATAGCGCTTTGTGCCAAACCCAAAATCGATCGAAGGCTACGGGTTCGCAACACTGATATCCAAACTAACGGCCAATGCCTCCCCCTTGGACTCTACTGCCTCCGCCCATCTGTGAGTTAGGTAGACCACGAAGATCACCAGCTGACCGACCACGGCGAAAACCGTATCTCGGTCACTAATCAGCTGGTGATCCTCAAGGTACCTCATGAGCTGGCAGTTTACAATGGACTCCATTATTTTGGTGAACAAGGAGGTGATGGCGATAGGCCGGTAGTTGGACGGGTCTGAGCGGTCGCCTTTTTTAGGGATCGGGTGGACGAAAGCCGTCTTCCATCATTTTGGGACTACGCCTAGGGAGTAGGAGTACCAGAAAAGACGCGTTAAAACCGGTGCCAACTCTGTAGCACACGTCCTCAGCACAATTGGGGGGATTCCGTCAGGCCCACTCGACTTGTGGGTGTCCAGGGAGAGGAGTGCTTTGCGAACCGAGCGCTGTGTGAACTGCACTTCCGGCATGGAGCCGCCGGCACACCGCGGGATGGTCGGCAGCGTACTCCCCCCGTCATCGAGAGTCGAGTTGGACGCAAAGAAAGAGCCTAGAAGATCGGCTTTCTCCTTTGCGGTATGGGCCAGTGAGTCGTCCTCCCTGTGCAGAGATGGAAGAGATGGCTGACAGAAATTCCCCTGGACAGCCTTGGCGAGAGACCAGAATGCACGGGTTCCAGAAGGAAGGCGAACTAGTTTCTCGCCAATTCTGCCTATGTGCTCTGACTTTGCCTTGGCAATGACTCTTTTGAAGGACCTAGAGGCGGAATTATATTTCTTTTTTAGAGCGCTGGTGTTTACATCCCGGGACGCTGATGCGTCAGCCCAGGCTTGGTAGCACTCCTGCTTATAGCATGATGCTAGTAAACGCGATTGCTGATCATGAGATCCCAGGTTCGAATCCCGGGTCTTCTGTCAAATTCATCTGAAAAACAACAAATAGCAACAAAAGGTAAAGAGAGTGAGGGAATAGAAGGTGCACCTGTGCTCTCTCGTTTTGTCCTGCACAGATGGCTAGTCTCTTTTCAGACTTGCCGCTGTGACCGAAATGCGTTCTGGGGAACATTATTGTCTGTATTTATTGTATGTGTCTGTAGATTATACAGGGTTAGTTTTCAAACAGTAGCCAAATTTTTAACTTCAAATATATAAATAATGATATACCGTAAATGCAGTTTTTGAAAATACGAGTAAATATGCCTTCTACTTTTATTTGAAATTATCCCAAATTGAATGTGATCTTTGGGCAACAACGTTTTTGTCTATCGGCGACCCATATGAAATATGAATGTGTGCGAGCGCAGCAAAATCGCTTAAAATAATGCATTACCATGCATTTCGAATTTACAAATAAAAGGACAGAATGTTTGAGATATTTTTACTAAGTTTGTCTTCACCATTCGCCTATATCACTAATTCTGAATCTTTTTTGCAAATTTGGCCGGTTATTGCCAAATAACTCCGTATAGCGTTTTATTTTTGGCTAAAAGCCTTTTAGTCAATGCGACAGTAAATAGAAAAAAAAATTTGGCGGTTGCAGTTTCTGGTGAAAGCGAGGGCTGCGCAGCGGCGCGCATGTGGCGGGGTGCTTGTGCGGCGCTGCTGGCGCCGGGGGCGGAGGATGCCTGGCAGCAGCTCGTCGACGCCTCGCCGCCGGACTCCGTCTGGCACTCGCTCAGGAACTGCGTCGCGTACCAGGTCTGCGCTCAAACACACAAGCACACACAGACACACAACTAACAGAAGCGCTGCTAGCGTCGGGGGTGGAGGACTCCTGGCAGCAGCTCGTCGACGCCTCGCCGCCGGACTCCGTCTGGCACTCGCTCAGGAACTGCCTCGTGTACCAGGTCTGCGCTCACACATACACGCACACACAGACATACACGTGGAGGAGTGCTGCTGGCGCCGGGCGCGGCGGACGCCTGACAACAGCTCGTCGACACCTCGCTGCCGGACTCCGTCACCCAGCTACACCACTCTCAGGAACTGTGTCGCGTACCAAGTCTGCGCTCATACACACGCACACACAGACATACACGTGGAGGAGTGCTGCAGGCGCCGGGCGCAGAGGATGCCTGGCAGCGGCTCGTCGACGCCTCGCCGCTGGACTCCGTCTGGTATTCCTTCAGGAACTGTGTCGTGTACCAGGTCTGCGCTCATACACACTCACGCACACGCGCAAACAGATATACACGGTGCCACTCGTTCAGGAACAATATTTACTTGTAAAAAATATGAAACTTCATCATTATTAGTATATTCTTTCCTGTGTGGTCGAAAGAAGCGACTATTAGAAATATTAGAACAATCTTATAGATTTCCATAGAATACTATTAAACACAATAGAATGGCTGTCAACGTTATTTTGTACGAGGAATGGCGTCGCCGGGAGCACACATCGCATTATCACTATCGCTGTATTGACAGACAGCGAATTCACACATTTTAGACTTTTGATTAATGTTTTTGACACATCAATATTTCTTTATTTTTGTTTCTAATTTTCACAAAATATAAATAGTTTCGACTTACTGGTTGTAGGATATGTCCCCTTTATTTGAATTCCAGTTCCCGCTGTTCTTTCGACACGTAATTATTGCACAATTTTCCATTTTTTAAATAAAATGCATGCAGTGAGGCTTGACACGAAAATTGGGAACGATTGGATGTGTTGACATTTATACGTGTGAATTCACGTGTTAGTGACATGTTAGTGGCTACACGGGCTTCGCCCATTCCCCCGTTCTATTATGTATGTATTATAGTATTCTATGTGGATTTCAGTAGATATTTTTTTTTTGAATAGGATGACAAACGAGCACACAGCCCACCTGATGGTAAGTGGTTGCTGTGACCTATAGATATCTACATCTATCCTCGATTACGAATCAAAATGCAGATGTGTTGTCATCCGTGAGGACTTAGGTGGAATGCCTCATTTCTAAACTAAGGTAGTATAACTATTTCATTTACATTTACTAGGCTGTACTAAAAGTATCGGGAATGGAATATTTCCACTGTTCCTGTCATATTAAAATCTTTTTAATTGAAAACTCCTTGGTTTTAAAAATCGAATACCATTTCTTTATTTAAAAAAAAGATTCTCGGTCTTGTCACAAGGTTTTGTCAAACTTCTTTAGTCGTTGAGAAAATGGAATTGACTCGATAAAATTCAAGAGCGATGATTTATTATGACTTTCGAAGTGGATTAACACAAAAACAGTGTGTTGACCGGATGATTTCTGCATTTGGTGATGAAGCCGCATCCAAAACCACAATTTATCGCTGGTTTGCTGAATTTCAACGTTTTTTTGAAATGTCAAGGTCGTCCAAAAACTGCAGTCACCCAAGAAAACGTTGATGCTGTGCGAAAGCTGATTGAGGAAGATCGACATGTGATATACCGCGAAATTCAGGCCACTTTAGACATTAGCATGAGTCAAATACAAATAATCTTGCATGAACAATTAGGTGTAAAAAAGTTGTTTTCCCGATGGATACGTGCATACATTCGCTCTGTGAAGAGCAAAAAGCGGCTCGCGTTACTTGGGGCGTCAGAACTCTCGAAATCCGATCCGATCGATCCTCAAATGCTGTATACAACATCATATCAGGTGACGAATCCTGGATATACGCGTACGAACCCGAAACAAAAAACCACTCACGAGTTTGGGTGTTCGAAAATTAAAGCCAACAAAAATTGTTCGTTCACGGAGTGTTGCAAAAAAAATGGTGGACACGTTTGTCTCCAAAACCGGCCATGTTAAGACTATTCCTCTTGAGGGACAAAGAGCGGTTAATGCAGAATGGTATGCTAGCATTTGTTTGCCACAGGTCGTTTATGAACTCCGTAAAGAAAACTGCAACCGCCGCATCATCCTCCATCACGACAATGCGAGTTCTCACACCGTACACAAAAAAAGAGTTTTTAGAGCAAGAAAACATAGAATTATTAGACCATCCGCCGTACAGCCCCGACCTAAGCCCTAATGATTTCTATACTTTCCCTAAAATAAAGAATAAATTGCGTGGACAGAGATTTTCATCACTTGAAGAAGCTGTGGACGCCTACAAAACGGCCATTTTGGAGACCCCAACTTCCGAATGGAATGGTTGCTTCAATGATTGGTTCCATCGTATGGAAACATGTGTCAAATTTCGCGGAGAAGACTTCGAAAAGCAATAAATACATTTTTAAATAGTAATGTTGTGTCACTTCCTTGATTCCCGAAATGTTCAGTGCCGTACACTACAAGTAAAACACAGACCGTTAAAGGGCAGCGTTAAAAGTGTGACTCTCTTTATGGTCTTAAATTTTTTTAGTGTTAGAGATTTACGATTTTACTTTGACTATCACTTAAACCAAGTATTAATCATCTCTATACCTGTCTCGTTCTATTGGTTAAAAGAGAGAGCTACTTTAAGCATTTCTTAATTCGATGACGATTTTTATGTGTAAGGCTTTATTAACTGTAGTACTGTTACTTTATTAACTGACCTTGGAACAGTTCGGTAATAGGCTGTTCAAGTTTAATTAATACAGATACCTTTTATAAAGTATTAATGGTTTTTTATTTATGTTTATTAAAGATGTTAAAAATGAATTACCTTAGATCTGCGTATTAAGATGTTACGTCTTATCTAGTTAAAAAAAACATCTCCAGCCCTCCCTCACTACCCTTGAAACGACTAATCTCAACATCACTCCATTCCACATCAATACAATAGTAAAGACACCACCGTCGATAATAAGAAATGTATTCTCGACGGTCCTCTTGAAGAGCCACTCTCAAGTGAAATAGACTGCGGGGTGGGTAATAGTGTAAAGATGTCGGGAGTAGTGGTGTTGGGATTAGTGATAACGGATGCACACAATTTAGGGAGGGTGGAACGTGCTCTTCAAAGTAGGTAAAACACGTAATTTTATGTTATTACGCATATCTTACCAAATTAAAACCCTACATTTTTAATATAATGGATTTCCGCAACGTAACGCCTGTATCATTTAATTATCTATATGTTTGGTCCTTCGAGCTTTTTGAGGTTTATAAAACGTTTTACTATCCACGAGGTACGTGATGCTCAGTCGACCTCCATTTGTCGAAACACCGAGTAAATTTTATTTTATGCTAGAAATTATTAACAATGAAATATAATTAATAATAATGGCTCACAGCTTCGTCGGGTATCGCGTATCATTTCGCGTACAGCCTGTGTAGTAATTATCGTTTTTTACCGACTTCAAAAAGGAGGAGGTATTTATTCAATTCGACTGTATGTTCTTCTTTTTTTGTCAGTTACCTCATAACCTTTCTCGGGATGAAGCGATTTTGATGATTTTTTACTTGAAAGCTGGTGCTTCTCGTGTTCCATATAAATTTAATCAAGATTTGACCAACAGTTTTTAAGTTATCTTTAATTGACTTAGAATACATTGATTCGGGCGTATTGAAGTCGGTTGTACAAAATTTTAATTTTAACACTTGACTCATGAATAAGAGTGACAAACGAGCACTCACTAAACCTGATGATAAGTGGGTTCTGTGGCCCATGGATATCTCCATCTATCCTGAATTAAGAATCAAACGCAAATGCGTTTTCATCCCTGAAAACTAAGATGGAATGCCTCGTTTGCAGTAAAAAGAGGTCTTCTGTTCTTCTCTACACTCGTTAATACGAAATATAGCAGCAGCATATTATGCTGCTATATTACTACTACTAAAGAGTATTTCGTTAATAACCCCTGGGAACGAGGTGATCACTACCATGCTGTTTCAAATGTTTTTATACTAATTTTATAAAATAATATATTGTAAATTAATTTTAACCAAGAAAAAGTCCCGCTGGAATTCTTGCTGGTTCTTCCCAGAACCAATGGTTGTAATAACGGTGGTAGGTAATAAAATTAATAACAGTGATGATTTTCAATAAATATTCTTATGAAATTCAGTTTGCGAATTTTATCGCGTTTAATGTTAACTTTTTAATTCCTGACGTTTCGGGTACTTTACGGTACCCATCTCGATCTCGGCGGGGACTGACGTGTTTGACGTCCCGATGTCATAGTTAGCCTGGCTACCTTAAGCTTTTGAATATTAATTTTTGGTCCGATCTACGCGGAACGAGCTTAGAATATCTCGAAGTCTTGCAGTCCTATTGACATTGCAGTGTTTGGGCTTGAATTGGATGTGATTAATTATTATTTTTTATTAAATTTTCAAATTTTATGTTAAAAAATTATACCTAAATACTATTATATTATAATTATTAATAAAAATTATAAATTATTAAAAATGAAATTATTTGATTAATTGGGATCCTATCCTAAGAGGATGGCTGAAGCCGTCCATCTTCTCTATTCTATCGTACTTGCAGGCGGGCGTGTGGCAGAACCTGCTGGCTAAAGGCGTGACGGACGTGATGCAGCCGGCCGCGTTCAAACTGGCCATCGTACTGCGCCACACGCCTGCAGAACTCACCGCGCGCCTACTCGCTGACCTGCTGCACGCACACCCGCACTCGGTTAGTGATACGCACACACATTCACACACACAGACGTCCCGACACATACCAACACAACCGATATATTAACTCGCATTACTTAATGCGTGAAGTTGGGAATCCCCATGAATTGAAGATGTGCAGATGACCGATATTTAACATGTCGAGTAACGACGAGAAAAATTAAAATGACATGGAGTATAATTAATAGTGAAACTGGTACAGCCAAGTCTCGTAATTCAAACTACCAGTTAAGTTTTAACAACAAATTAACCAAATCAGGACCTTGCAATGGTTTTTGAGAAATATTTTACTGATATTCCGATCTTAACCACTAAGTCACTGAATTCTTCTTCTGCCGTCGCCGAATCATTACTTAAATAAAACGTAAATGCATGTACAAAGAATTTTACATTTCATAAAGTGTCATCAAAAGATATTGAAAAATATTTTAAAACTATGATGTTAAGAAAATCGCCGATCTATGGGGGATCTTACTATCTATTATATACTACTTTTCCTATAACCAAGTATCTTTATTTAAATCTAGTGTTGCCCAAAATCGGTCTTGGTCTTGCAGTCTTGGTCTTATTCTTGCGTTTTTGCAAGACCAACACCGCCTCATTTTAGCAAGACCAAGACTGACGGTGCAAAACTCGAGCAAGAACAAGACTAAACCTGCGAAACTTGCGTCTTGCAGTTAGGACTGAGTGTCGTTTCAGGGAGTATAGGAGTTCGGGTATATGCTTAGGGACTCTATGAGACGCAAAAAAAGATTGGGAAAATTGGACTTATGCGCATTGCGAACAATACCATAAACATACATAGCGAATGAAAATATACATTAAAAGAAATAAGAGTGCATCCCTAGTTTTGACCATCGGCAATTTGATTGTTGTCGGCATCATTAAAGGTCGGATACTGACCTATCAAAGAAATTTTGCAGCTATTCGGAAGTACAAGGTCAAGATACACGCGCCAGCGGCTTCTATTGAAATCGCATACAATCGTCGCCGCCGCGCCGCACGCGCAACATTTCACACTGTTTGATTGCCGCCACAGAGTAAATGTTCCGAAGAATAAAATAAGTTTTCGCGTGCTCAGAATACATTATGCTGATCACGCAAGGAATATTGTTACAGGATATTACACCCATTTTCAAAAAGTGTTTTAAATGAGTCCTAGAGTGATAATGAACCATTAATTTTTTTTAAACCAAATAATGCCATAAAATTACTTCTAATCTATCGTTTTAAATTTTCGCGTCAAAACGCTTATTATGTTCTACTCGTGACGTCACTGTCCCAGAAAATTGCCGATTTTGCAAAGGAATAAGATACTTTTTAATGTTTAATAATTATTTATCGTCCATATCATTGTTGTGTTGTGCCTGAATGCAAAAATATGAGCATAAGAACGCCCGGAAAGTTATGGATTCAAGTGCCAACTGATTTAAATATAAGAAATACATATTTTGTGAAAGAGTGTGGTTTGCAAGATGATGTTGTGTTGTGACCAGGATTAAGAAAGGAATGCTTCGGTGGTTTGGTCATGTGGAAAGAATGAATAAGGAAAGAGTGACAAAGAAAATTTATGTTGCAGAAGTGAACAGTCAAAGGGACGTCCTAAGCGAAAATTTATCGACCAAATTGGCGATTTATTAAAAACGGGCCAAATCGGGAGTACCCTTAACCGACGAGCATGTATGCGTAGGTATAATCAGTGTGTCAGGATCGTGCCAAATGGAAGTCTGTAGTCTCTGCCTACCCCTCTGGGTGACAGGCGCACGGTAATTTTATCTATACAGTATTCCAACTCTATACAAACGGACGAAGCGAGAGCTATGCCTACGCGCCTCGATCTCGGCATGCGCTCGGCATGCAGACAGTCGTGACTGCCGCAGTGATAATTTTGTGGAATATATATTAAAAATGGAGGAAATAAATAATAGAATAGAAATAAAGAAATAATAAATCCGAACTTCATTTAAAACCAAACATATCAATTGTAAAATAGCTGCAGGTTTTAACCAATATACCTCTCCACCTTGTCCATGTTTCCCAAAACAATTTTTAATTTATATTAGAATGCGGATTTATATACTTAAAATTTTAATAATAAAGCATTTCGTACGTCTCAGCCGAGGCGCAAATATTCATTCATAACATAATCTAATTAAATCTACCAATCAAAAAATGAAACGCATTTTTATTGAATACTTACTATTCAATTCACAAAGTACCTATTATATTTGTTTATATAAAAAGTATATTTACAATCATAAAACTAAATGGAAACACAAAGTATAGTTGCCGACATGAGTCATGAGCACAGATAAACTGTGGTGGGAGGTAGGTACACTGTCGGGCAAAATTATTGGGTACCTTTATTATTTCAATTCGTAATTGAATATTTTCGCCGACTTTTATGAAAATGTTTACTCGAACACATCAACTTTTACTTTGATACAGTAATGTTGCAGATATTCGTATCCGTTATTTATTTATCTACTATAAAGTATTTAATGTGTACCTGGTAGTTAGAATGGATTATTTTATTAAGAAGAAGGAAGAGGTGATATGCCTTCCATAAAATCTGGTGTTGCGGTGCGCCGTACAGTAGCTACTGAGACATTAGTCACCTCAGCAGTCTGTTTATATACGTCTATGATGTTTTTCGCAGTACCTAATTTTTTCATGTAACTAAGCACTGAGTAGACCATTTGTCGGGATTGTCTATTTAACACCGAATTCTTCCTTCTCTGCATATTTAGACCGAAATCTGAACACTCAAATTATAACAACAAAAATAAATAAAAACAAGAAATAACAAAATCAATTAATAACAAGGAAAACACAAACAACAATAAACGACGAGGTAACAAAAACAATTAACTAAAGTAAACTAATTAAAAAGTTATCACTAAAATTATTGCTCTGAAGTGTACGGAAGCCGAATGATACGTTCGAAATCAATAGACGACGAGAATCGACTGATGAACCAATCACGTTGAACGTTAGCGTGGTCAACGTCGTATCGACCAATAAAAAGTGTGCTCACGGCTTATGTCGGCAATTATAGGCAAATGTAAAAATGCTGGAGGCAGGCAGCCCTATCGCATGTTTAAGTACCGCGCGGCTGTAGGCATTTATTTCAAAGATACGGCCGAGTTACAATACTGTATAGATAATATTACCGTGACAGGCGTGAGTGTTTATGTTATTATGTATGTAAATATTTTGTTAAAACTGGCAAGAAGATACCCGAATACATTGTTTACAGTAACTAGAATATTTTTCGGTGAAGATCATTTTGATATATCGCTTACGTTATACAAAACAAAACACCATGAGGTGAAGGGTATCGCAAGTCAAATTGTGTAATAAATTACGGTATCTTAGATATTATAACTAATGATTGTAATTACAGATAACCTAAACAATGATAGCTACTAAACTATGTTTTATCAAAATACACTCTGACCTGGTATTGTATTTTTGTATAAACAAAAGTTGGTAATAGGTACTTACATTGATTTTTAACATTCCTTAACTCAGCAGAACAGAAATTGGGATTGCATGCAAAAAAAAATTCTGCCATGAATTTATTTATCTTTGGTAGATTAGTTAGAAGTTCTGCTTTTACGAATTCGTCTTCCATGATGTTTTTTGAATAAAATTCGGAATAAAAGTCAATAATCGTAATGATAACTTAAAATATTTCGAAATAACACAGCACATTAGCTAGTTATCTTAATCAGTGACACAGAACGCTAATACTATGGAGTTTAAAGGTGAGGAGAACAATCTCTCATAGGAGAATAGTTGAAAAACAGCGCTGGAGTAGCTACAGGAAACATCTACATGAAATGAACTCAGCAGTTGTCGACGGTGTGAACTGCTCAGTAGCTCTAAAATCGAAAATAATTTTATTTAGTAAATATAAGCTCGAAAAAGACGTCTATCCCACTAATATATTTCGGCGCGTTCTTTAAAATTTACCCTGTAGCTATAGTGGCGCTACCCTTATTTAACGGTTTTCTACGGACACTTTTTAATACACAGTCTGTACTCCTTACCTCTACACTCCATAACTAATACCCTTAGGAAGGGAAGAATCAGTAACGTCCAAACAGTTTCTATTATAGCGGACAGTGTTTCGCAAATTTAAGGCATATATAAAAAAAATATTCTTAAAATTGAAATCAATATTTCTCGTTTGCTTTTTACAAAATTTAATATATTTTTTGATGTTTTTTACACGGTGTAAATACCCTATTAGATAATGGTAAGGATAGGTAGATTTCATAATAATTTATTCTAGTAAGTAATTATTATAATATTAATTATATGGGTTTATAATAATTACTATTTTTGGGGTATCTGTATAGTTTTCTCATCTGGTTGGTTTCTATAAATATATAATTATAAATTAAAATGAAAAGATAAATATACATAAATATCAATAAAATAAAATAAATACAAAAAATACACAAATAAATAAAGATCCAACCATATAGCCCTCGGCAGAGGAGACCAAACGGCCGAGGGTTAGGGGGGAAAGGGAAAGAAACCGACGGACGATGCGGGCGGTATCGAGGAGCACCGCCTTCTGCATTTGAGCCCGGAGCGGTCCGTCACGGAGTCCCAGTCGCCTCAGATGACCCGAGAGGCTGACTGGGATTAGCCCATTCGCAGAGACGACTACAGGAATAATTTCGGCCGGCCGACCACCCCACATGTCGGTCACCTCGTGAGCCCGGTCCAGATATTTTGTTCGCTTATCTGTTTCGGCTTTCACGAGGTTCTCGTCATACGGAATGGTAATGTCGACCAAAAATATCCTTGACTGTGCCCGGACAGTTTAAGTAATAATTATTATTTATTATTATTATTACCTAATAGATAAACATGTTCAATAAGTTCACTGCAAATTTCAGTTTTTGGAAGTGTGTCTTTTTAAAACATAAAGTTGATATATTGTATTCACTTAACACACTTGAAAGGTGTAAAAATTTTCTA